CTAAAAAGTGACACATAATTACAGCGAAAAAGAAAATGCCGAGTCATAAAAATACATTTTTTCATTCAAGTGGATTCCACTATGTTAATTAAAAGCCAAAAGTATTCTGAGTAAGATTTCACTGATTGTATTTTAATTCAATACAATTGAAAGGTATTGAGTTGCAGCTAAAGAAATGTTGCAGTAAATTGGTTCTTGAAAATTCTGAAATTGTAAGAGAAATTGCTGTATTCCAGGCACTTTTTTTTAGGTGCTTTTACCTATGTAGGTGCATTTAATCTTCATAATACCTATTGTGGTGTAGGTGCCATCCTCACACCCTCATTCTACAAACCTGGAACCTCTTTTGATTAGAAGCCACATGGCTAGTCCGTAGCAGACTTGGGTTATAACCCAGGCAATCTGACTGTAGTCTATGGTTGGAACCATTACTCTAAAAGCAATTTTAATAGTTAAAGAAAGAAGGTTAGTCAAATAAAACAGGTGTCAATAGGTAATTTTATCCTAAAATATAAATAGTTTATAACCAGGAATAGCTGCTGTGCATCATGCTCCTACTTAAGTGCCTGGCTCTATGCTAAGCTCTTTCTATACATTATTTTATTCCATTCTTAACATGCCCCTCTGAGGTAAAGGATTTATTATCCTTGTTTTACCAGCAATGTAACTGAGAATTAGAGAAACTAAGTAACTTGTTGATGGTCATGTAAACCTAGTGAGTAGCAGAACGGAAATTTAAACCAGATCTCTTCACTTCCTTAGACCATATGTGTAACCACTGTTGCTAGGCTGCTTTCTCCATGTTAAGATTCATACACCCAGCTGCAGTCAGGGTGATCTCGATGCTTTGAGAGGCTAAGGGAGGAGGATTGCTTGAAGCCAGAAGTTCAGACCAGCCCTGAGCAACATAGACCCTGTCTCTACAAAAAATTAAACATTAGCCAGGCATGCTAGTGCATGCCTGTAGTTTCAGCTACTTGGGAGGCTAAGGCTGGGGAAGCATTTGAGCATGAGTTCGAGGTTACAGCACTGCACTCCAGCCAGCATGGGCAATGGAGTGAGATCCTATCTCTTAAAAAAAAAAATTCACACACTTGTGCCTAAACAGCTTGTACCATAGTCTTTGAAATGAAATTGGTGATAATGAAAAATGTTGATAAAGAAAAGCAGGTCAATAAATGTTTATGTTGACAATAATTATGATATTAAAATATAGCATGAAAATATTTCTGGTTGTTACTTTAAAAAATCTGTCAAGAGGCATACTTTTGCTATGCCCCAGAGTGTATTGTAACATTATCCCAGAGTTTTGGCATTCCGATATAATCATATTTTGTCTGTAATTGGAAGACTGTGTAACTAAAATAACATTTCGCCGAGGAAGTTGAAATTCTAGAGCAAGGATTTTATTTTTATGTAGAGATAGAAATTCATCACAGTACATAATCAACCACAATTAGCGTAGTGAAATTCTTAACCTTATGTTAGAGAGAAATAATGGTTGTCCAATTCAATAAACAGTTTTTATTTATTTTTTATTTTTTTCTTTCTGAGACACAGTCTTGCTTTATCACTCAGTCTGGAGTGCAGTGGTGCTATCATGGCTCACCACACAGCTCAAGTGATCCACCTGCCTCAGCTTCCTAAGAAGTTGGACTACTGGGCACATGCCACCATGTGCGACAATTTTTTTTTTTTTTTTTTTTTTTGGAGACACACCATCTCACTGTGATTCCCAGGCTGGTCTCAAATTTCTGGACGCAAGTAATCATCCAGCCTCAGTCTCCCAAAGTGCTGGCATTACAAGCATGAGTCTGTGCACCCAACCTCAATTTTTATTTTAAATAAAATGTAAAACAAATGAGAATACAGAGTCAGGCTTTTCATTCCTGACCTTATCAATTAATGAAAGACAATTTGAGAATACGTTTGTGGCACAAAAAGCATGTTCCCTTTAACTTCATATAGCATAATGTATTTTGGAAAAACACAAGTGTAAAAAAAATGCATCCAATTGCAGATTTTGGTGTCAAGAAGAATGGGTGCTGTATTTGCCCTGTGAATTTGGGCTTAACTTCTCTACATTTCTGTGGATATAATAATAAACCTTCTTTCAAGGCGTATTATAAAATATGGGCTATGTAAAAAGCTCAGTCAGTTTTTGGCTCATAGTGTGTTCTTAAGAAGTGAACTTTTCTTATTAATATTAACTGTTTCCACATGTCTGGATGTGCTCGATTAGGATTCTGCTCGCTCCAGTGGTTCTATTTATAATGCCTGTTCTAATAGACTGCGAAGACTGACCCCTTCTTCCACCTTTCCACTCTCTAGCTAAAGGAAACAACACATGGAACCAAGAAGGGTGTAGGCGCTTTTAATCTGAAGGAATTTGCACAATCAGTACATTAATCTGAAATAAAACATTCAATAAACATTTTTTTTTTGTGGAGTTCTTCATGTTTGGTAAAAATACATATCTGTGTTTATATATTCTCAGGTTTGTATGGGTCCAATTTAATGCAATGTCATGAGTTAAAATTGGGATAGTGGCAACTGAACATGCTTCTATAATGAAGCAACATAAATAATGTAAGAGTATATAGCTTCCGCTTTGCTTCTCTTTGGGGATAGTTTATGTCAGATCTAGGCAGGAGGAAATTTTTTGCGTCAAAAGATTTTGCTTGCTTTTTCTATATCTGTTCCCTCTTAGAAAGTGATATTTTTCTTGGGGTTTGGGAAATAAGTAATTGGCATTGTATTCAGGCATAAGAAAACAAGGGAACTTTTCTCATGCCTTAAGTCTTCTATCTTTATTTTAACAAAGCTTACTTTAAAGGAATGGTGTGCTTTATTAAAACCATGAAAGGGCAACTGCTGATTATCGGTGGATAATTGTGATCCTGAAAACTGAAATACACAGAACATTTTGACTTTTTAGCTTTTGGACTCACAATGTTTCTCTCTCTCTTTTTTTTAAATCAACTATTCATCAAATCTTCTAGAAAAGCCAAAATAACTAATTGGAAATTTATTTTATTTGGAAATGCCAGTTTTAAGTTATGTCACTGTAGTGTATGGTTTTTAATAATAATTAATATAGCCATCTCCAAACTGTTTGTTGACCATAATACTTACTGGGATAGAATTTATACACTCAATATTTCCAATTTAATATAAAACACATTTTGAAATTCAAAGAAGTCAATTTTAGCATGGTAAGCTAATTTTAACATGTTGTAATTACCAAGCATAACTGCAGCATTATTTTTACAGAGAAAACACAATTGTTATCAGCACCCCAAATAATGTTCTTTGTCCAGTTATCAGTCATATTCTTACATTTGTTTTTACTATAGCTTCGGCCCTCTACTTTCTGTGGAAAAAGAGCCCCTGTTGCCATTTAATTGGTTTCTCTTGGGGAAAAAAAAAAAAAAAAAGAAAGAATGATTCTCACCCATTTTCAAAAAAGCAGATATACTTCAGCAGTTGTAACACGTTGTTTTGAGTATGAACTAAGCTGGGCAACTCAGATTCAAGTGACGTTTCACCTTTGCTCTTGGAAAAGATCTTTCTTTCTTTTTTTTTTTTTTTTTGAGACGGAGGTTCGCTCTTGTTACCCAGGCTGGAGTGCAATTGCGCGATCTCGGCTCATCGCAACCTCCGCCTCCCGGGTTCAGGCAATTCTCCTGCCTCAGCTTCCCGAGTAGCCGGGACTACAGGCACGCGCCACCATGCCCAGCTAATTTTTTGTATTATTAGTAGAGACGGGGTTTCACCATGTTGACCAGGATGGTCTCGATCTCTTGACCTCGTGATCCACCCGCCTCAGCCTCCCACAGTGCTGGGATTACAGGCTTGAGCCACCGTGCCCGGCCCGGAAAAGATCTTTCTAAAAAATAGTATCTCCTCACAGGATGACCACTAATAAAAAATAAATAATTTACAAATAGCAATAAAATTGCAAACATGTATTTAGTTCATACTTACTGTGTATCGTGTTAATTATTATATTTTCAAATGGAAACTTAATTAGTGCCTTCGTAATTAAAACTATAGAACTCTTTTTGTATTTGTTGGGATATTTTGTTTCAAATATATTTGCTGTGTTATTAAAACTTAACAGAAGTATGGTCTGGGTCTTTAAGAAACTTGGTATATTTGTAATGGTAACAGCATGTACGAAACAATAGCACATCATAAACACAGAATATTATAAAGCACTAAAACATGTAGGTCAGATAGCATATTCTAGATAGAAAAAATTGCAAAGTGGAGTTTATTGTTAACCCCAAGAATGGAATATATTAGGATGAAAAACTTTAAATCCTTTAAATTTAAGAAAAATAGTTCCTTTAAAAAGAAAGAAAGAAAGAAAGATCCAATTCTTGCCCCTAACGTAAGGAGTGAAGCTCTGAATTAAGATTGTAATGGGTCTACTCCATTTTAGAGCATCCCCGGCATGTTTACTTTAGCATTAAGTTATTCCTGGTCAGAAAGAGGTGGAATTGCTTCAGCTGGTGGACTTGACCTGATTAAGCCAGGTAAAGCTTCCTGGAATTGGCTTGATTCCCCTGAGCCAATCTTAGCCTCTATCCGAATCCGGGTGCTGAGAAGTATAGTGATTTAGTTAAATGGTGTGGACTTTTGAAACATCTTCTTTCTTTAAATAGAAGTCTTACCAGTGTAAGTAAAATTCCTCATGAATACATGCCCCAAATTGTAGTTGAATTATTCAGTAGCTACGTTTTGCAGAATATTTCATTTTATTATCATCCTTAGCTTTAAAATCTTCTTGCTGAATAGGAAATGAAAATTGATAATGAGGAAAATGGACATTTATAGGTGTTCTTAATTGCCTTGTAGTAGAACTATCTATCCTTTTAGCACTTTAGTAACATCCTTTGCTTTAAGATTAAGAAAAGCAGTTGTTGAGATGTAGTTCTGAACCATTTTTTAAAAATGTTTCTCTTATAAAATATTGAAATGCCTGTTTTTCTCAGAGACCAGCATGCCGATGATGTCAAAGAAGACTTTGAAGAGAGAACAGAAAGCGAAGTGAGACCATCACATGAAGCCAGAGGTAGCCATAATAATTCTCGTATTACTCATATTCGTCATGTGTATTACTATTACCATGAAACAGTCAAAACCTTAACTGGAATACAGCAGTCTCTTTTATGTTAAAAACGAATTTCATTTTTTATTGTTATTGTTTTATTTTAGGTTCAGGGGTACATGTGAAAGCTTGTTATGTAGGTAAACTCGTGTCACGAGGGTTTGTTATACAGATTATTTCATAACCCACGAATTAAGTCCAGTACCCGATAGTCACCTTTTCTGTTCCTGTCCCCTCTCCCAGCCTTCCCCCTTCAAGTAGACCCTAGTGTCTGTCATTTCCTTCTTTGTGTTCATAGGTTCCCATTTATTTAGCTCCCATTTATAAGTGAGAACATGCAGTATTTGTTTTTCTGTTCCTGCATTAGTTTGCTGAGAGAAATAGCCTCCAGCCCCATCCATGTTCCTGCAAAAGACATTATCTCATTCTTTTTTATGGCTACAAAAGATGAACTTTATTTGAACTTACTCTTTTTTGCAGGCAATAAAATTTATTGTTCAGTATCAATATAGTATGTAATTTATAATATAGATTCATTTATGGCCTATATTAACAGTCTCACTTATGGATACAGTATTGTACATAAAGCCTGGTAAGACATTCTCTGTGAACCTTACCACACTTTTTCTTTAGTATTGTTGATGTCATTTGCTTCATATGTTTAAAACTCAATTCAGAATGTGTTTTGAAATCCAAATAGAATATTGTCAATCTAATATCACAAAATGCAAACAAAATTACACGAACAATGTTTTAAGTTGTATTGGAGGAAGTAATATGTGGTACATCTCTGTTAAAAAGATACTGCCTTCGGACGCTGACGCAGGCGAATCACCTGAGGTCAGGAGTTCCAGAACTGCCTGACCAACATGGTGAGACCGTGTCTGTACTGAAAAAAAATTTAACTAGGTGTGGTATTGCATGCCTATCATCCCAGCTACTCGGGAGGCTGAGGCAGGAGAATCACTTGAACCTGGGAGTTGGAGGTTGCAGTGAGCCGAGATCGTGCCACTGCACTACAGCCTAAGTGACAGAATGAGACTCTGTCTAAAAAAAAAAAAATTGCAGTGGCTTAATTAAGCAATGAAGTTGTAATGACTGTTAGTCATAGTATAGATTGTATTTATAAATCACATATAACTATTTATTTTTTATAGGAAAATGTCAGTCTGATTATGATTTTGATTGTCCCTGGGGACTTTGCTTTTCATGTAAATAGTTTTCTTTCGATTATTACATAAGATTTGAGAATGGCACCTAATGACTGTTTGCTTGCAGTGACCTATTTTGTAAGTGATGCTTTGATTTCCATATCTGATTTTCACGAAGCAATTATTTATTATTAATTTAAAAGTTATAGGCAGTGCTGTCTTTGGTACCTTTTATGGTGTTTATGTAGCACGGTGTACAAACCCCATAAATGGCTAGAGTTGGAATCTCTGCTCTGCCACCTGCTGCTGTGTGATCTTGGACATGTCATTAACACTTCTCAGTGTTTCTATTTCTCTATCTGTCTATCCAGGAGAATGATGATAGTATACCTTCCTCATAAGATTGTAATAAGGATTAAGTGCAGTCACATTCTTAGCTTGCTTAGAACAGTGCCTGGCACATAGAAAGTGCTATGCAAGTATTTGATTATGGAAAAAGGAAAAAAAATATTTATGAAGGTTTTGTTATCAGGGCTATTTTGAATTCTTAGACAAAAGTGTCAGCCATTCTTTGTGAGTGGTGGTTTGTAAGAGGAGGTAAGAACATGGCCTTCATTCAGGTCTCGGCTCTACTACTTCCTAGCTGTGGGAGTAGCTCTGGGCAAAGTCCTTCACCTGTTTGTGCCTCAGCTTTGTCTTGTGTAAAATGAATGTAGTAATAGTATCTTTATTATTGGATTATTGTGAGGATGACATGCATCAGCGGCTGCAGTATTCACTATTATTAATAGTAGTAGTATTGTGGAATAAGTGTCTATCATATGGAATTATCTGATCATTAAATGTTCAGATAGATTGGTAATAAAATCTTCTAGGCTTTGAACTTGTTGAGGGGGTAATAATTTGATAACATTTTTAGTTTCTTGGTGATCTCTTTAACTCAGTGATTATTTAGCTTTCCATTTTATTATTTAGTGGGCCAATTTTGATAATTTCTTTCTAAAATTCTCTGCGCAGTGGAGAATTTCCAGTTGATTAGCATATACTATGCATGGTATTCTCTTCTTTTTCTCGGTAGTTTTATGTCTTTCTAATTTTTTTTTCTGTTTTCCTTGATTTGAATGCCGAAGTTTTTGTTTTATTATTCAATTCAAAGAACCATTACTACGATTTATATATACTTAATTTTGTAATTTTTCAAGTTATTTTTATTATTGTTTTACCTGTAAAACCTGTAGTTAAATGTACATATTTTTCTTATTGTCCTACTTTTTGTTAGTGAAAGAGAGCTTCTTAAAATAAGTTGTTTTGAGAATCATTTGCACATATTTTCATAAGTGAGATTGGCCTATAATGTTCTCCTTTACTTTCTTATCTAGCTCTAGCCTCCTAAAATCAATATAATTTTTCTTCTTTTTCACATTTTTGAAACATTTTGAATAAGACTGTATCATAAAATGTTTCTATAGTGAAATCATATTACGATTCTAGTTGTTTTAACATCTTTCTTAGCCTTAGATTTCTTTTGTCTTTTTGAAATGGTTTTTCAAGAACCATTTTGTATGAAAGAGATTTGGTTAACACTTTGTCCACTACTGGATAGCACCATCCCTAGTTTACTGGTTGTCTCTGCCTGAAACCCAGGGAACTTTGGACTGAAACTAGGCCTTACGGTATCTGAATATAGTGGATCTGTGGTGACATTGGGGACCTCTCAGATCCTAGTCTGTGGGGTTCCTCCTGTCTCTCAGTTGTTAATAGAGCCACGGCTGAGTGCTTTATATGAGGTTTTGATGCTCAGATGCTGAGAGCGTTTTGTACAAGAGGTTTGTTGGTGAGTATTCTTGGGAGCAGCAGCAGTGAGTGAAGGAAACAGGACTGGGGAGACCGAGAAGCTGAACTGAGAGTAGTTACAGCAGAGGCCTTAGCCTGTCCCGACGTAAGCTGTGCAGGTGGCCGTTGGGAGTTATCCCAAATTCAGGCAAGGGAACCAGGCTTTTGTATCTGAATTGACCAGTCCTCGGATGTTTGCTGGGAGGGGCACATGGCCTTGGGCAAGGAAGCTCCCTTTGGCTTTGGGTAGTTCCTGGACAGGGTGGCAGCTCTGAGCATCTGCATTTCACAGGTAGGAGAATGAAGTCCTAGTTCCAAAGGGCTCAAAGAATGACCCACCACAGATCCACTTTATTCAGCCAGTTGTTTGGTCTTTCTTTGAGGGAAAAGAAAACAAAACGAAAGAAACAAACCAAAATATCCTTTCAACTATGTGAGATGAGGCTGGCTAAATTCAGTCTACTCTCTTGGTTTTGAAAATGAACCTGGCTCTTAAATTCAGTCTTCTTTTGTGATTTTTGCATGGGAAGTCATGAGCCTTTTTGATTTTTTGCTTCAGTCTTATTGAGATCCAGAAAGCTTCCTTAAGTTATAGTTTTGATTATTACTAACACTTCTGCTTCATTTGTCTCTTTCTTGAAGGTAATACCTATTCTTCTTAGGCTAGACTCAAGGAACGATACTAAAAATACTTAACAGCTCAATTGGTAACCAACATGGCACAGGACAGTTAAGCAGTCACCTTGGTACTAGAGCAGGGTATTGGAGGCTCTGTGCTGTAACAGAAGTTACACTTAGATGCTGGATCTTGGGGAAGTCCCACAAGGGACTGACTGCACGGTGGGGAGGTCACTATTACCAACCACTATGGAAGTATTTTCATATTTTCACAATTTAGGCATTTTGTGATGTTGTCGACATGTTTTCCAAGATGCAATAGCTCATTCAATCTCTTGTTCTGTCAAGTGTGCTATTTACTGCCTTTAACAACAGTATCGTTTCTTATTTTCCTATGATTTCCTACATTGGCTTGTTCTCTTTTCATAGCCTGTTTTTGTTTTATAGAGGTTATTTTCCCTCGTGCGTTGCTAAAATCATGAATCTCTTCTGTCTATAATCCAGTGCGCTTCTTCTGATGTTTTGTAGAACTTTTTATTAGAGGCCCCATGGTAATTGTTTTCTGTTTTATCATTTTTAAGTCCTGAGAAGTTTTTCCAAGGTCTTTTGTGAAGAAGACTACATGCTTAATGCTCCCATTTGAGTCCTCACACAATTCCTCTTTCAAACCTGAGGCTGAAGGTCAGGTAGACGTGCTCCATCCCGGAGGCCTTTTGTGAACCTACAGGTGCCCACCAGTGTTCATTCTTATTTCCACTCCAGTAGCAGAAGCAGCCCTTTCAAACCTAGCCTGGCTGGGGGCGGCATGGGGGTGAGAGGGAAAGCCGCTTGCACTGTGGGTAGCATTTATTCTAGAGGAGACTTCAGAAACCACCCTTAGTTGCTTTACAATGTCAAAAGGATTTAAGACTCAGTAGGCCCATTAGGCCTATTTTATTTGGAGTCTTGGAGTAAATTGATGGAAAACACACACACACACACACACACACACACACACACACACCCTTAAAAAATGATATTCCCCCTGCTTCATTTCTTCTGTTAATTCTGTTTAGTTCAGTCGAATATGTGTAATTACTGTATGAGCCGTTAGGGATGACTCATACTATGCTACTGAATTTGATCTCTGGGAATTTTAACTCAATACCTTCTTCCCTCCCTCCCTTTCTCCCTCCCTTCTTCCCTTTCTCCCTCCCTTCCTCCCTTCTTCCCTTTCTTCATCCTTCCCTTTTCCCCTCCCTCTCTTTTTTTGCCTCTGTCTTCTCTGCTTGAATAAGTAGCTCCTTCCTACCATTATGGAAAGGCCCATTAGTAAAGAATTTTTTAAAATTTGACCTTCAAATTTAAAGTGGCATACTCCTA